GTGCCCTGTGGTTTCAGTTGATTTGATAATCATCTATAGCTTATACATCATTGAAAACGTGAGCATGTCGAAAATGTGAAGAGATAAATTGTCATGAAAAATAAGACGCTGTAGCACAAGCATGGGAACAGTATTCGCCGTTTTTGAATCCAACATAGCACGACATTGTTAACTGCTCACACTCTTATACACACGCCTCTCGTTCTACAATGCTTGTGGATATGATAACTGAACTATTAATTAACTATCATCTCTATTTATAGACTGTTGTAACACTCACATTACGTTCAACGTTCGCTTATACTACTGGAGCTATATTAACCTCACGGGAATTATTATTTACCTATAAGTGTGAATTGTGGTACCAAATTCAATTGAGCACGCACCAGTCAGCTGATTTAGGCAACGTCCCTTGACTTTTATTAGTGTTCATAACTTATAAGTTGTATATTGCTTTTGAAACTGTATGCGTTTGTGAAATCAGTGCGATTATGCCGATTGAATACAAAATAACACCAAGTTCTATCGTTTCTGTTAAACAAAAGGAAGCTAGACCACCAGGAAAAACCTGGAAGCATTGGACGGCCGTTTAGTCCTATTATGGGACTCCTCAGCAGTGCGCATCCACGATCTCGCACTCGCGAGATTCGAACAAAGGACCTACTAGTCTCGCGCTCTGGCCGTCCAGTGCTTACAGGTTTTCCATGGCGGTCTAGCTTCAATTAACTCACGCTTTCAACTACTAAATCTCCACAAAAACCCCCTTCTATATTTTCTGTTAAATCTTGTAAAAATGTCAAGGTGAAAATTATTACTTCTTCAATCTGAGTAATAGATATCTGACCATTTTTTTAACAAAAATAAACTTCTGTTGACCTCAGTTCTTTACAGAAATATCAATGATTATTATACTTTGTTGTTGTCTATCACCGCATTCCATCTCATTAACCAAACAATATAGTATTCTTTGTTATGTAGAATGGACGTAATATGAAGGTCGGTTAAAATAAGAAACATCACTTTCTAATAATACATAGTGTCTATTTGTCTGACATTCACCAACACACACAGAGCAAGTATGAGCGACATTCTCATTATACCAAAGATGACCACCTTTCTAAAAACAAACCTTTTGACTGTCGATCAATAGAATGTCTTGCTTCAGCTAAGAATGAATACTGTAACAATTTACCATCAAATTTCAAATGCGTTTCGAGGGTGTTTTTCATCGAAGCATCTAGTTTAAACGTACTTAGTTTTTCAACCTATGGAACTCTCATTACTGATCCCTGGTCTTTGAGACTCGACTAGTTGTAACTTTCTGTGTATATTTGTCTATGTGATTGTGGTGAATCATCCTGACTGCACACGTTTGTGGATAATATCGAATATCGACCACCACAGGTATCTAGATGAGGTATCCTTCTTTATAGACCTTTCGCACTTGTTTTTCCTCCCAAATCCTTTTGAATAGAAGGTGAAGCATGTTCGCAGTTACTTTAATGTCTGACTTAGGTGCTTCAGCTGGTATCTTGTCAGGTGCTGCTGCTTTCCCGTTCCTGAAATGTCTGAAGAACATCTTGATTTTTTCGAATGTTGGTGTAGTGACATCCATATGAAGGTTTGTGTGTGCTGCTTCGACGTCAGCTGGATTCAATGTGGCTGATCTATTCACCTGGTCCTCGAAGTATTCTGAACATCATTTCCTCTGTTCTTGAATCTCTTCGATTGTTTTTCTTTCTTTGTCTTTGATTGGTCCCTCCGGTTTACTATATCTCTTATAGTTTCTTAGATGTATCATATTTCCTTTCCTTGCGGCTTTTTCTACTGTCGTTGCTTGTTCTCTTATGTATTTTTGCCTGTCGACTTTAGTACTCTTCTACACTCACTTGTTTGCTTTCGTGTATTCTGCTTGTGCCTTGATTTTCTCTGCTCGTATTCGACTGTTGTTAATTGCCGTTTTCTTGTTCTCCTTTCTGTGTTTTACCAACTAGTTTTACTTACGGACACTCTGGGAGAAGCCATGTAAAGAAAGGCTGAATAAACCCAATTTTCACAATCTGTACATTTATCAATGAACGATTGTACTGGTTGTTTAGGTGTATGACCTTGAACGCTTACTTCCTTCCTTCCTTTCGTTTTTGAATCCAACATAGCACGACATTGTTAACTGCTCACACTCTTATACACACGCCTCTCGTTCTACAATGCTTGTGGATATGATAACTGAACTATTAATTAACTATCATCTCTATTTATAGACTGTTGTAACACTCACATTACGTTCAACGTTCTGTTATACTACTGGAGCTATATTAACCTCACGGGAATTATTATTTACCTATAAGTGTGAATTGTGGTACCAAATTCAATTGAGCACGCACCAGTCAGCTGATTTAGGCAACGTCCCTTGACTTTTATTAGTGTTCATAACTTATAAGTTGTATATTGCTTTATTAACTTTTTGACGTAATAATTTCATTGCCATTTTTGTTTTAGTATTTATTTTGGTCCGCCACAATTATCTGGTGAGCCTCGTGTTTATTCTAATTTTTCAGTCAATGCTATCGCTGAGTTCAAACTATCAACATATGCAGCCAATAATTCAAGAGTCTGGTTTGCTTAAATAGAAGGACTATTCATGGCTAGAGGCATACGCTCACAGACAACAAAGTATGCTTATGTAGTTGTCGCACTCTCCATCAAAGTAGCTGCTGAGGTTGATGATCTAATTGACCAGGTGTCTGTGGTTGAACCATATGATAACATTGAAGCAGCTGTATTTCAACTCACATAAGTTTCATAGAGAAAACACTTCAACAATTGCGAGTTAGGATACAAAATACCATCACAGCTGTTAAGACACATGAAACAGTTAGCAGGTTCATATAAGGTAGATGAAGCACTGCTAAAACAATTGTGGTTTCAACGTCTACCACATAATGAAAGGTGAATTCTCAGCGTATCAGAAAACTCAGTTAACGTCGATGATTTAGCGCACATGGTCGACGAAATGATGGAAATTTACCCTGAGAGCCATAGGGTAAACTTCGTACAACCCTCTGAAACAGCAGATACAAGCTGTCTAGCTTTTTTCCAACAGCAGTTAACGCAACTGACGAACCAACTAGCTGCATTACAAACAATTGCAACAGTTCAACCTAGACAACTCAGATCCCCTTCCAGACGGAGATGTTTTTCCAGGCAGCGTTCTCCTAAACAAACCTCCGAAGTCTGTTGGTATCAAATAAATACGGCACTAAGAAACGGCGTTGCACACCCCCTTCAACTAATACGGAGGACCAGGGAAACGGCACGACCAGACAATGTTGGCGGCGCACGTTTCAGGCCACTACACAACCTGTCTCTTCCACACTCGGGATCGTATTTCTGGCTAGGACTTTTTAGTCGGTACTGGAGCATAAACCAGCGATCTCCCGCTACATTTCTCACAACGACGACACATTGGGTGTACTAAATTGTCACTCATCGCGGCCCATGACACGGTGATTAAAACTTGTGGGGAACAATCGTTATTCTTAGACCTCGGCCTCCGTAGAACATTCACACGGGTGTTTATAGTAGCTCAACTTAAACAACTGATCCTCAGTGCTGTTATAACTTGTAGCCGAGTGTTTGCTTTGTTAAAGTATGACGTGATGAAAACCGCCAATCAGAGAGGAGTGAATTATTGATCAGTGCAATGATACACAAAAGCTGTCGTGTCAACAGGTTAAAAACACAAAAACTATAGACTACTGAAAAATGACCCTAACAGTTCGTGCATATTCAATATTGTCAGTATAGCGTTGTGGAGATTGTTGAGTTTTTGAATAATTCTTGGAGTTCTAGTGAGGAGCCGTGACTGATGGAGCTAATCCGTGTCGGGTATGAAACGATTGTTTAAATCTTCCCATAGATGTTTAGGATTGAGATAATCAGTCTTTCGAAATTATCATTAAAACACAAGTATTACAATCAGAGTTGAATGGTGGCTAGCAGCAGGATCTATAGCACGCGTTTCATCTCATATAGAACTCGTCAGGTGAATGTACCTGCTACCCAAAGTTGATGTTTATAAGAAAAACTGATAATCGTTGTGTTTAGTAAAAATGTATATTATCAACTATAACAATAGTAAATACAAGCAAACGGTATCATCACTGAGATGACTGAAAAACTTTTTTTCTCTTTTAAAGAAAAAAACACTTTCCAAAAACAACTACACTAAGTTTTACCAACAACCAACACGTACACACAAACACACACATACACTTATAGCCTTCTATAAATAAAATAGTGAATACGATGCAAAATAAGCTGGAATGTGTGTGTGTGCATATGTCCTGGAAGATTGGTAACTAGTGGGTAAATAGATGTATATTAATATATGGTAGTCAGTGTAAAATATAACAAAGCAGCCAAAGTTCTATCACACAGCATAAATATAGTACTAATAATAACAGTAATAGTAGTGTTAAATATGATCTTTGAAAAAGAGACGAACAATCTAAGGATATGTTGTCGATTACATCATCATCGTTACTACGACAGATGAAACAACAGTGTATTGTATACTAATATTACTGTTGCTATATCTACTACTAATAAGGCACATTCATCAAATAAGCAGTAAACACATAGATGGAAAACTCCGCCTGCAGCTCCTTTAAAGTTACTGCCGGTCCCAAGCCCGGGTAAAGGAGGAAGGTTGGGCATGGGGTTAACGACCCCATCCTGAAGAAAAACTAACTCGCTAAAAGAACACTAACCAGAAAAAAATAATTCATATCATTTAAACTTTGCCCTGGGAGATGAAGGAATGAGCAGATATGAAAAAGATGAATAGCAACTGGAAAGAACTGGAAGAATTATTGCCCAGGACAGAGTTGGGTGAAGAATGCTGGTGGGCGGTCTATGCTCTTCCCCGAGGGCTAACAGGCGTAAGTAAGTAAGTAGGTAAGTAACATAGATAAGAGGGAAGGAAGTAGACAAAGTTATTATTCATTTCTCTCATTCAATGTATCGTATTTACCGATTATTCAGAGATTGGATTTTTAGAATTCCCTGATGATGTCGCTGAAAAATTGAGATCAGTATTTATTAGAAATGGCATCATTTAAACTTGGCACAGTAATTAATGAAAGTTATTCAGTTTAAAATGGATTGAGATTTACGATTTGGAAGAAGACTGACATTATTGTTACGTTCTGTAGTTATTTGATTATTGTACTACTTAAACGAATCGTATAGATGAGTATCTAACTTTTCCAATAACATTTTCCTAGTTATTCTTAGTCTGTTTATTCACGTATCAGTTCGGATTCCAGTATAGGATGTATGTATATAGATATCTGATAAGAAGAAAGCAGAATGTAACAATAAGCTTGGTTGAAACAAATAGATTGTAACTAACAGTGAAATCCAGGACGTGAGTTTCGTCCTACTTGAGACTCATCAGCTGGATGCACCCCGTTGGGAGTACCAACAACTAAATATACTCTAAATCGTTTCAGAAAGGGGTTTAGTGGGGAATTGAGTAATTTTATATAGTTGAGATCATGAGACAATTGAAACTAGACCACCATGAAAAACCTGGAAGCACTGGACGGCCGTCTATCTGTCAAATGCTCTGGCGCGAGACGGGTAGGTCCTGAGTTCGAATCCCACAAGTCGGGATCGTGGATGCGCACTGCTGAGGAGTCCCGCAATAGGACAAAACTGTCGTCCAGTGCTTCCAGGTTTTCCATGGTGGTCAAGCATCAATTGGCTCATGATCTCAACTATATAAATCATTTCAAATTGAGTCAGTAACTCTAAGCTTTTAATAAAATTCCGGTTGGATTTTTTGACAAGTTAGAAGAATAGCATTGAAGAGACTGTGGTTTACATTTTGATACAATTTCCCTTCTGTTTCTTAAACCAGTCATTCAATTATATCGACAGTTCTATTAACTAATTCTTTCTACTTATATGAAATCTTCTTTTTTACTACCATCGAAGTAAGTGCTTCTATGAATTTGGTGTTCATCTTATTGTGCTAATCAAGTATAACAATTTGGACCGATGCATATATGTGCCTGATCCTACGTTGTAGCCGACTGACGGGCAGAAAGGATTTGTTGACATTTTTTTTAATTTTTAGCAGTTTGTGTAACAGCTCAGTGGTCTAAAGGTTTATTGCTCAGCATAAGACATGAATGTACAGAGTTTGATACCCGGTGGGGTCTGCAAGGCCTTTACTGTTCTCAGGCATTACTGCGCCTTCGGCATAGTATATATAATTATGTACTTCTCGCTTTAAAAGCATCTAAATCCATGTGATACTTTCAATTTAAACCATATAAAGTTTCCTCAGGCAAATCTCTCGGGTAAATGGATAAACTTAAATGAATTATAAAAAGCTCAAAAGTCACTAACTTCGCAAGGATAATAGTGTAAATATATACTGCATGAAGATAATGAGTAACATTATTATCTTTCTGTAACTGCTAGTCAAAGGAACTTAATGACTCGTTATCTTGATGCTGGTCATTGTCCTGGTCATTTAGTAAACGGGCTACTCCATGGTGGAAAGTAATTTCTCCAAAACATTTATTCTCAAGTGTATGGAAGTTACTTACAACTGTCTATCATGAAAATGTAAGTGTAGCACAAATAGACCGTCAAAGCAGATCAATAACACAAATACAGTAAGAGGTAGAGCTTAAAACATAGTACATTCAAGTTCGTAACATTTACACACTAAACAAATGGAAGTCACTGGAAACATTGTAGATAACTTTAGCAGAGAAAAAAGAGGAGCATAAACTTTCTACAAAGAGTGTTTGTTTGTTTTTTCTTTGAATGTTTGGGATTAAAGCCAATGAGTGAAATAATGACAGACTATAAGGTTCGAACTCTATTCAACTTAATGTAGTTAGTAAGAGACGAGGTAGAACCTGACATAAACTTGTCTTAGCCATCTTCATTGATCAACTACAGGTTTATGCATTTAAATTTAAGCTACAATGTTTATCTGAGGAATAGAGATGCTACAAGCCAGTGGCTTAAATCATAATAGAAGGAACAGGGTTCGAATTCGGAATTGTAAAAATTATAAATCTTGGATATTCTAACAATTATAATTACTGCTTTACAAATGTATCCAAGGTTACCAATAGTACAAAAGTGAATGTACATCCCCTATTCGTCGCAGAAACTGGATCTCTTTGTTTTGTTTTCTGACATGTTTATCATAACTGCATAAGTCCATTGGACTAATTACACATTATTAATATGGTGTATACAATAAAGAATGATGATTCACAGATTACACAGTATAAGTGAGTCAATTTGACGGTACTGTTGAATGGATACTAAATGAAACTGAATGACCAAATACAATTTTGTGCATTCAAATTGGAATCAGTAAACGTTATATGGAGTAGAGTTGTTGGAGATTTGGGAGAAAGATAAGAAGCTAGAAAACCAAGACGTAATATAAATTTATGAAATAATCGACTGTAGGTTACAGCCATGTTGGTAGGTGCAAATTATCTGATTGTGATCCGTGTGATCAATAGCTGAAAACGTTGAGCGATGGCTCGATTAAAATGATGTAGATGTATTCACTTTCTCTTTCCCTTGGATCATGAATTCAAGTCGTGGGTCAAGAACAAATTTATACTGATGACTGTACTCAGACGTAATAGCAGTGAGGTGTTTCCCTCAAACAAGCAGAATCTCCAGCATTGTTGTTTGTCTACAACATAAGTAGAGAGGTAGCAAAAGTTGACCCTGAAATAGCACACCTTACGTTTTCTAGTGGAGTTCTCTCACCGCATGCAAGGCCTTTTGAAGTACAGATCTAACTCATTCAAAACTACTCACGAAAAGTCATAATCGTTTCTTGAGATCTGTAGTTACGCTGTCACGTAGCTAAAATAACCATTAATCCAGTATCTTTTAAAAGAACTTTAAGAAAAAAGGAATTTCATCTCCCTGTGTTAAAATGGCATGTCAACTTAGACTGGTGTACATACGTATCAGGTTATATGTTCCATTTGACTGACTGACTAACTGAACTTAAGAAGAACTATCCTTCCAAGACGTGGAGAACTGGGAAGTGAAAACTACCTTCATACATCTAACAATACAGGAGATTACCTCAATTACCTGTGACATATTTCACATTAAATTTCTTCTGATACATGGGAACTATCGGCTACAAACTGACTAATAATCGAGTCATTCTTTATTACTAATATTAATATTACTTTAAATAAAAACACAATTGATCACTACAAATAGTCAACAACTTACCACCTTCAATTATACTACAATCTAATTTTAGTTCATTCATGCTATCTGTACAGTGAATTAATGAATTCGAGGAACAATTGAATTCATTGTGTGTGGAACTACTCTTTCCAACTTTCGTCATTGTTGCTGTATAGGGTTCAACATTTCCATCCGTTTTATGAGTATTATTACTATGAGAACCTGATTGATTTGTTGTACTACTATTTAGATTAATATTATCATTATTATTTTGATGAATCAAATTAGAATCTTCCATTGAATTGTCAACAGTTTTTCCCTTTGTCTTCTCTGCCTCATGAAGATGATGATGATCGTCAACATCATCACCAGGATGATGACGACAACAACAAGAAGTGGAAGACGCAGTAGACGTCAGTTCTTGTTCATTTTGTTTAGCTTCCAAGTTTTGTGATTCCTTCTGGCATCGTTGTGATTTTCTTAATTCATTCAATTGATCTTTTAAAGCTCTACATAATCCACTAAGTTTTTCTACTTGTTTCTTAGCATTCAATGATTCTGACATTTCTTTTTTATGCTGTTCAGCTAATTCCAACAAACTACGTTGACTAACTTCCCATTTACCTTGCCATGCAACTGCTTCACTCTCACTTAATTGAATACGTTTGCCAAGCTGAAAATGAAATATTACAAGAAAGAAAATCTGATTATCACGTAATCTAATTTTAATAGGATTTTCATTTAGATCATGAATTGATCAATTTTAGACCACCACTGAAAACCTGGAAACACTGAACGGCTGTTTCGTCCTACAATAGGACCTCCCATCAGTGTGTGTCCACGATGCCGCACACATGAATCTAACTCAGCACCTAACTCGCGCACGAACGCTTAGTTTCTAGATCATTGAGCTGACACTCAACGATAAAAATGTCTAATTTCAACTAATCCATGATATTGTGCCACCAACTTCCATTGTCTGAGGTGGATAACTGCCTCACACCCGACACGGATTAGCTCCACTGATCACGGATTCTTACTAGAACTCCAGGAGTACCATTTTGAAGCTAATCACTAGTGAGCACATGGTAATTATCAGTATGGAGTTGTGGAGATTGTTGACTTTTTGATTGAGATCATGAATCAATCAATGTTTCCAGTTTTCTAGTAGTGGTCTAACATTGATCGATTCATGATCTCGATGAAAAACTCAGATGACAATATGATTAATTTACACTATATAATTTATGATATAACAGTTTGTATATTCTTCTCGTTGTTGAACATGAAAACTCTGAAAATGACCAGTCTTTTGATCGAAATAACAATATCAAAGCAATGTGCCAAACAAAAGCGTAGGTAAAACAGTTAACAAATGAATTACTTGTTCATGTAATTCCAACGTCCGACTCACTGCCTTCTCGTGGCACCGGTGTTGTTTACGAAATTGAGAGGACGAAAAGTGAATGTCCGGCACTTTAACCGGGTTGGTGGACACGGAAAGTTCACCTAGGTGGGTTGGAAAACCCTGATTCCAAACCAATCGTGCACATGGGCTCCAGTATCCTGAGGAAACAAATGGCGTATGAACCAATATTTGGTCACCGGCTACCATGGGACTGCATCTCCTTACGATGCTCCACTGCCTTGTGGATCAGACCATTAGGTCAAAGGCTCGGGGTGTGGCCCCCTAAGAAAAGCACCTGCTTCAGTTTGGCCACCTGGGCAGTATCACAGCCCTCACACAAATCAAAGGAGATTTGTGCGGCGCATATGTATTCGGTGACCCTTTCTACCAAAATTTATGTGTTCAAACAAATAAAGAAATAACAAATCTTGGTACAACATTAGAACCGTACATTGAATACTTCATTTGTAAATTTCCATCATTTGTACGTCACATTAAACGTGATTCTTCCTATTCACAATTCCTTTCTATTTCTGCTTCTATTCTCATCAACTTGATGTTCTTAGCGTTCTGCTGCCAAGGTTTCCACTTCCCACCGGTGTTACATACTACTTATGTCGAAAGACATAAGTAGCATACACCACAGCGTTATTAAATGGTTATTTTTACCGAAATCTATCAGATTTAGATTGGTTTCAAATGGTAGAGGCTATAGCCATATGGATTAATTAAAACATTAATCGGAGCATTGTACGTATAAAAAGGGAAATACGTTCAGTCTCTTCTACTTTAAAATGGTCAACAACAAATCCAATAGGTCAAGATGACCTGATCTAACTAATGTGTATAGAGTCGTCAACTTTTTCTTCCACGCACTTTCATAGGAATTAGATTCATCTTATTCAAATATTGTTGTTAATATGTTCATATCTTTACAACATGATTGATATTATTTTAGTCTTGTAAACAAATCAAGGATTTAACTGGTACTCATTTTCGCCTACTATTTCATACTTATTTATTTATGTAAACACCAGATAAGCACCAGATAAACATGCGCCGCACAAATCTTTGATTTGTGTGAGGGCTGTAATACTGCTTGGGTGCCCAGACCGAAGCAGGTGGTTTTCTTAGGAGTCCACACACCGAGCCTTTGACCTAAAGGTTTGATCCACAAGCAGTGGAGCATCGAGAGGAGATGCGGTCCCATGGTAGCCGGTGACCAACAATTGGTTCATACACCATTCGTTCCCTCTGGATACTGGAGCCCATGTGCACCATTTCATACTGAATATGTATCACGCTATATATATTGCGTAACATGTGATCAAACATTTGATCTGATGTATGTAATTACACTATTATTTCTTTTATCCTATGTTATTATAATTTATCCTTCATAAGTAATTTTACAATTTGATTTCACGTATAAACTTGTTCAAGTACATAAACCTTGTGAAAGCTCTTTACTCAAACACTACCAGTCGAGTGAGAGCTTATGGATTTTGACAACTTACGTCACCTATGGTGAAGACGAGATATCCGTCTATCAATTAAAGGACGAGTATATTGCGCAGAAGTTCGCTCTGTTCTACTTTATGGCTGTGAAACGTGGCTATTAAAAGTTGAAAATACTCGTAAGTTACTAGTATTTGATCACAGATGTCTTAGAAATATTGCTCGCACCTGCTGGGATCACCGAATAAGTAATAGTGAGGTTAGACACAGGGTATCAGAGAATGATGGTAACTCAGTTGATGAGGTCATGAATCTTCATCGACTGAGATTGTGGGGCCACATGTTCAGTATGCCTGAACACCGATTACCACGATGCGCAGTTTTGACTAGTATTGGAGATGGTTGGAAGAGAGTAAGGGGCCGTCAAACTAAAGTATGGCATCCGAGCTTGAAGTCACTAACTTCTAGTCTGAGCTATGTTGGCAGATGCAAACTACTTGGTTGCGGTCCGCGCGACTATCGTAACCAATGGTTGGAGACTCTAGGTGACATGGCTCAGGATCGATCACAATTACGTAGGAGTATACACTCTTTATCTTCCCTTAAACCTTGAGATTAAAATTGCTTCAAAACTTTCTTTCTTCCTATACTATATCCTTATATACAATCTTTCTTTTATATATTAACACCACTAAACTAACTACTTCTATGCATATATGTGCCTGGTCCTACGTTGTAGCTGACTGACTGACTGATAAACTTATTCATGTTAACATTACATCAAACTAGTCAATTCGACATTGACAGTTTTAGTGTGAAGGAATTTGTATAGATTGTAGTATTTTCACAGTTGAAATTATGAATCAATGTTAGATAACCGGTCGGCACGTGAAAGCACTGAACGGTCGTTTCGCCTTAGTATTGGACTCCTCAGAGGTGCACATTTATGACTCGGCACCCGGAAATCAAACCTGGAACCTTCGGTCTCGTGCGCAAACGCTTAACTTCTAGACCATTAAGCCGGTAGACATCCGACGATGTTAACAATTAACTTCAATTGACCCATGATCTTGTAAAACTGAGACATAAACCATTTACTGATTGGCTTAATTCCTTAAGAGACATATGCATAGAAAGAATATATATAAGTATATATTGAAAAAAGAAAGACATTTTTCTCACCTTCTCCATTTCCTCTTTAGCAGTATCAAACATTTTTCGACTATCTGACATTGTTTTGTTGAATGATTGATATTTCTCTTTATAGAATACAATCTGTATGTATGAATTGATGAAATGAGAGTTACGCAAAAAAGAGAGAAAAAATGAATGAATAGAATAGAAAAACGGAACAAAAGTATCATAAGTAAAAAAAGAAGAATGTATAAACAAATCGGTAACCTATTGAAAAAGTAACTTGATGTGTTATATCCCTTGGAGAATTATGAATGGTAACCGTCGAGGACTATTTATAGACCAATATGATATGTATATTTCCTATTGTATAGTTGTTAAGTAACTAAACTATTCATATTCATGTTCCTCTTATTATAAGCTTTATTTTGACCTATAGACCATTACTCTGCGATTTACCATTCTTGAGTTATCCCCAGTCTATTGATTACTGTTCCCCCTATTCATAGCCACATTTGGCTAAATCTTGTACAAATGTTATTTTCTATTTTATTGGTACGATGTGGTCTGTTTGATTGGTATATAAACCCAGTATGTTTGTGAATAATGATTCATATTGCACAGGCTGTTATTTGGTGTTCTGGACTTAACTGACTGGGCTAGGCAGTTAGCAGCACTGATAAGTACTCAAGACTGCTCAAATGGCTTTTGTGTATCATTGCTGCGATGGGATAATACGCTCTTCTCGCATTGGCGGGCATCAGCATGTTCATATAGCAAACAGGGCATGCACGCACTCACACGTTATAATAGATAAATACATCCAAAGTATATAACTGTACTAATGAGAAACATGAAAACCACTTCAATGGTCATAAATTAGTTATTAAGAAAAGGTTATAAGTCAAGGTTAAGGTTTTCCATATAAATTGACATTAGTTATCAGGTAAGAACTTTAAGCTTCAATATTCTAATCGTAACAAATCGAATAGTACAGCAATAATGGGTCCATTTATGTATGTTGATCAATTTCACCGGATTTGTGTAACTTGGTTGTATTGACTGTACTCATATGTCCTTAACTTTATTCACACGTCAACATGTATCGGTAAAGTTAGGAAATATTAATGATACCACTTTTTTCAATTTATTGATAAGGGACATAACATTAGAAAGGAAGATTTCCAGTTCTTAGTAATCTATCCAAAAAGGTGGAAGACTACATTTACTCTATACATAGTTGAAACAAATGGCATCAATTTCAAACAATCTAACTTATATTCATTTAGTATTGTTTATTTGAATCTTCCCATTGTTGTTTAGAACTGCAACTGATCAGTCTCTTTGGAGTGAAAGGTATTGCGTTCGAGTCCCAGAGTGAACATTAACTCTAAGATGCAGGTACATCCAGCTGACGAGTTCCGAATAGAACGAAACGTGCGTCCTGGATTCCACCGCTAGCCACTATCCATCTTCGATTATCAATGATGTTAGTTTTTTTTATTATTAGTAATATATAGTAGTCATAAATTAATCGACGTGAAATTCGTTATATTTAATACATCTGGATAAATTCACCTTTAATATTTTATCAATTGTAATATTAAGAAATGTAATAATAAATTTGTATTTTCAAAACTGTAGACACTAAATCTGCCTGTAGCTCTTCTATA